GGGACTCGCCGATTTCGTACAGTGAATCGACGATTCACTGTACAGAATCGTCCGGTTCTCTCTAAAACCGGACGATTTCTGATTTTTTAGACGATCCGGTCCCCTTTTCACGATTTCCCAGTCGAACCGGGCGAGTCCGGTTCGACTCGACGTTTTTTAAAACACTGGGTAGGAGTTTCTCCCTTACTTCTTACCAAAAAAAAAAAAAAAACAATCACCGTTAACGATTTAAATAAATTATTAAAAAAAAAAAAAAGAAGCCACTGATCTGGTCGTGTCCCAATTAGGGTAGACCCGGACTTGACCGTAGGCATTCCCACCCCTAATTATCCGCATGGCTACGTGACCCGACCACCGAGACTAAGGGCCCTTTTTCCTTTACAAGGATTAAAAATGTTTTGAAATCAAATGAAATATGAATAGAGGACGTATGCCCAATATATTGAGACCACGCGAGCGCCCTTAAATTAAACCTAGAGCACCTTTACATCCCATCTTTTGAGTATAAAAAAGTATTCCTTGTTTTGATATATGACATCTAAGTTATGACCTTTATCTTTGGCATTTTGTAGGTTGTCATAGATTCTCACTCCTTCATTGATGGCACCATACAAGACAAAGAATAAATTAATTTCCGCACCGGTTCTCTTTAAACTATTTTAAGGATCAATAATAAGAACTACCAATATGGTGGATAAATCGACCAATTTGGTACCAAAGTGGAGACAACATTATTTCAAGTATGTCTTCAAATATTTTATTTCAAAATATCTAAACTAGACTTGTTCAAAGTTTGAAATTCAAACGGCTAAGGCTATTTAGTAAGTTGGCCTGTAACATAATTCAGGCCAAATTATCGAATTGTCTCCTCATGTAGTAAATTCCAAACCAAGAGCTAGGGATAGCTGAAAGGTATAAATTCCAAACCCAAAGCTAGGGATAGCTGCAAGGTAGGTTGGTCTAAGCTAGGGTTGAGAATTTACCTTGTTTGGATCCGAAATTCAAATTTCGGATTTTATCTGGATCTGAGCATGTATCCAAGATTTGAATCCGACGAGTCGGATCTGGATCCAAATTTTGAATCCAAATGGTAATTTAGATCAGATCGAGGTATAGTTGGATCCGATCTGGATCCAACTCAGCTATTAATATATTGTATATATGCATATATGCTCTATAGCATTTTTTATTACCTACTATATAAAAGAGTATGTTTTTATATTATTTTGTAGATATAAAATAGGTTTTTTGGATCCGATTGGGTTTGGTTTCAGATCTGGAACCCATGTTATACTTTTCAGATTTGCATTTAGATTTGAATATTCTAGATCCGATCGGATTCAGATATGAATCCAAATCCCATGTATTTTCATATTCAATTCCAAATCCCGGTGGACCTGGACTTGATCTGACCCATTCTCAGCCCTAGTCTAAAATTGGCACTAAACCCTAGAGGGTTGGCTAAGGCTCAGCTTGACTTGCACAGGACCGAACTTCCCTTGGCCAGGCCTTGCCCTACTCTTGGGCTAGTTGGCCTGACCTAGTCATAATAATGGTGTCAGCTCGTGCCTTCCTAAACCACTAGATATGAATCAATTTTCTTTTCTTTTTAATTCATAAAGACAATAAAGAAAATATAGCCGGGTGTGGTTGTGACGCTTGGCCCAGGGTGGGTCAACTAGACCAGGGACACCAAGACTTGATTTCATGTCCTACCTCTACCTAGAACAAGATAATTTGACGAAAAGACAAAGCTAGCTTTGGAAACTAGAGCAAGAGGAGCTAGTTTTTTTATTGGAAAAGTTTTATATAGAGCTGAGGCTCTAAAGAATCAAATTAAAGCACACGTCAAAAATTTTATTGGAAGAGGTTGCTTTGATGCCCTAATATCCTCATATTGATCATATCGACATCAAGATATATGAACATGATAAAAAAATGGATATCAAGTTTTGGAAATAGTGCATCTTGTAATGCATTTTTGGACCGGCAATTTTAAAGATTTTCAAGTTTTCATAGATCTGCTTGATCAACACTATATTTTAAGCTTTAAATTTTATAATTAGATATGAAAATATATTTTAAAGCTACCACAAAGATTTTCAGTATTGAAATTACATTTCTCGACACTATGTGACGGAACGCTCTACTTTGATTTTTTAAAGCCTCGGAGCCATACAAAACTGCACCCTTTTTTATTTGGCTTGGGCCTTTGAAGTGTGCCAAATGGTGTAACTGCCGCTACTTATTTAGGCAAATGCCCCAAACTAGGTATTTAGTTGAAGGAAGAAGTTTTGAGTTTAAAACCGAGAATAAATAGGGATATTTATATCTTTCCACCCAAACCACTTAATTTTTGAGAAGATTATCGAAACACTGGTGCTTAATTAGGATCTCAAATCTAAAATGGGGGAATTTCTGGTATTTTATCAATGAAAATTCAAGGATGTACTTGATAATAATTTCTTTAAAGCTATCACTTTATTAATAAATTGACAGATCCGATCACTTTAGTGCGTGCTTTTTCTGGGGAATTTGACCATTTTAATAAAAAAAAGTTTATATAAGATTGCAGTCTTAAATTGTAGAATTAAGGTGTGTCTCTATTGGAAAAGGTGGTTTTGAAGTTGGAAAACCGTCTATTTGATCATCTCGACATCGAGATGTATAGAAATGAAAAAAAATAAAGATTCTAAGTCTCAGAATTAATGCAACTTACAAAACATTATTTGGACCATCCATTTTTAAGATTTTCATGTATTTGTAGTTCTCCTTGATTTGAACTATTTTGGATCTTAAAATTTTATAATTAGAGATGAAAATAAATTTTTAAGCCATCCTAAGAATTTTTTACACTAAAATTACATCTTATTACAAAATTTGGATGTGTGCCTTGGATGGTTTAAAGTTGCCCCTTATGCAATTCACACCCATTTTTAATGAGGTTTCTATAAGGCTTGGGCTTTATGAAAACAAATAAACTTCATCTGAAATCGTCATCCAAAAAGCACTTTCGGCAAAGGAAATATCCATGATGGTTCTAAAATCAATTTTCAACACCAACAATAAATTTTGAAACTAAAAAAATAGTACAGAGTTTGCAGATATGTAAACACTTTGCTTTTAGGTCAAAACGGATGGTTTAGACAATTTGTTACAATATACATTATTTTTAAAGTTTGAAATCCTAAAATATTTTTTATAACCACAATATTCAAGTTAAGATAATCGTTGTAAAGGATTTCCAATACTTGAATTATAAGTTTAGATGAGTTATGAGGCAAGGCTTTACTTACTTTGATAGGGCTACAGCCCTATCAAACCATTTTCCTTTTAGAAATTTACATTTATACAGAATGAGGTGTCATTCCTACCCGAAGTAAAGACCCTTTTCTCTGTGAAGTACCAAAATAACAGGACAAAGTTCTGAATCTCTTTGAAACATCACTACATATCTCAATAAAAAACCATTGACGTTGCTGGTTCATCTATTAAAGCGATCATCCATTTCTTTATACCAAATTGCAAGCTTTCTATTAAGTATGGAGGAAGTATATACTAGCTGTGGACCTTGTACTATTGAAGTAATCCTCAAGAGAGTGATCTGATATTAAAAAAACCCTCCGATTGATCATCTCGACCTCGAGATACATGGATATGGAGAAAAAAAAGAAAAAAAATTTTAAATCTTAAAAAAATAATACATCTTGGAGCGAGTTATCTAGAAAATCTATATTCAAGGTCTTAAAGTGTTTATAGATGTGCTTATTTTCGTACCACTTTTGGAATTTTAGATTTCATAAGTAAAGATGAGTATATAGTAGGAAAAGTT